TTTCCCTCCATTTTCTTAGCAATCAAACGGTCTCAGTAAGTAAAAACAAATTCTTCAAGCGAATCATAAACGTAACTCGGATTCTTTCTCAATGCAAAAACAGTTAGTTTCTTTTCCAATAGTTTCCTTTCTTTCTCACGTAATTCAATTTTCCTTCAGTTTTCTCAGCAACCAAACACCTCACAAATCACAATGCGACCTTCAAACACACACACACGGAGCGATAGATACATGCATACGAATAAAACGCGTATAGAAGATAGAGACTTCACATGATTGATCGGAGATTAAGCGATTTGAGGAAAGGAAAATTGGACGGCTGCGGGAAGCCGGATCTGAAAATGCCATCCTCCACCATCGAGAAATTGATGGGCGGTTCCAAAACGTCGTCGTCCCCGTCGTTCTTCATCCCTCTCTTCGTTCCTCCCTCCTCCGACGTACGCGCAGAGACAACACGGAATGCAGAGGGCAGGCGTTTCCTGTCACGAAATACAAGAGCAGGAGGAGGCGGAGGAGGAGGTCATGGTTTTGGAGGGAGGGGAAGGAGGAAACGACGCCATTGAGGTTTCAGGATTTCATGTGAAAGCGATTGGATTTTGATTTGGATTTGGTTTTGGGAAATGGATTTGGATTGCAACTTTCTTCCTCAACGAGTCCGAGGTTTTTGTGGGCTTGTCCTCTTATTTTTTGGCACCTTTTATAATCAATTTTACCTTCATTTTTTATATAAGAAAATAATAATTTAAGGTGGGAAGTGATTTTCGCATATTTTTCTTGTTATTTATGCAAATCTTTATTAATTATTGTTAGTTAATTTTTGTAGATTTATTTAATCTGTTTGTCAGAAATGCGAAAGAAAATAGTGTGAAAATCAGTCTTGCTTTAGAACTCGTAACTTTCTTATACTATTTTTTTAGTTTTTGGGTTTTGTTTGTTTTTTTTTTTTTTAGTAAACCCATAATTTGGGAGGGTTTTAGTTTGAGATATGAAGTTTCCTTTGGTGTGTAATTCAAAACCCACTGCTCATTAAGTTTGAGATTTCTCAGGGGTTTGAGAAAATTTGTTGTTTGGTAAAACAAATTAGACCATACCCACCAAGGGATTTGGATTCTCTTATGAGCCCAAGGAGTGTGGATCGTTGGATTTTCATCCAAATGCTACAAACAAGGAGGTTCCTTTTAAGTTATAATAATTATAGCCGTTAAAAGAAAATCCAACATCCCACACTTCTTAGTCAGAGGATCTTCTCCTTGGGCTCACGAGAGGATCCAAATCCACCCACCAAGTACCTTCATTTTTCTAATTAGCCGGCAACCACATAATTATAATTTATAAATTCGATCAACTGGTCAAGACAATGTGCATACTTTACTGTAATTAATTTTGAACTCCCTTCTTGATAAGTTAAAGTAATTTAGAATGTTATATTGTTGGAAAGGAAAAACTTCAGAAAAATATAAGATTGATGGCAGTAAAAAGGAAAAGGATGCCCATTGGCGAGTTGGAATTAGGTTGGACTGAGTCAATTATTTGATCCACTTTCCAAAAATTGACATAGATATGAACAACACATGGTCTGCGCCATCGAACAGGTGAGTCAAAAGGAAAATATTCTGTCGATAAGCGTCAAAATAAAGGGGAAATTTTGTGTCCTTTTCCTTGAGATTCAATGGATTTCTTCACCACCTTTTTATTTTCCTTTTTTATAATGACAGTATCATTCAGAAGGGATTCCAGATTCGAATTTCGAAGGTATCAGTGTTAAATGTTCAAGTATTTTTAAATATAATAGAGTGTCAAACATGTAAAGAATATTTTTGTTTATTTTCAGAGACATTTCGTCAAACATTTGGTGGTTTGTTGTCGTCGATCAAATCATGTTTCATACATGTACACAGATATTGACACACACTGAAACAATCTGACAAGTGACATCGAGAGAATTTGTTGGTGCTTTCGACGTAACTTGTCGAGATATGTGTGGAAACATTACGAAAAGATCCGTACAAAACATTATATGGTCATCAAAATATCTTCTCAAATATATTTTCTAAACTCCGAATGATCCTGAAATCATTTTGATTCTAATGTGTATCCGCCTCTAGCATCATTAATGTGATACGAACTCTCTCAGTGGCTGAATTTGAATTCGGACTACCATTTAATTAAATAGAAATTAAAAGTTGTTCCTAAAGTTACTTCCTTCCCCAAGGTCTTTTGAAGTTGAAAAAAAAAAAACTTGAAATGATAATATTGCTTGCAATAGAAAATTCAACAGCCGGGCATGAATCGATTGATTTCATTTTAAGAAAAACTAATGAAAATAGTTTGAAAACTTTGAGTTTTAACGAAAATGACAAATTAAAGGGTAAGTTGAATAGTATCAGAATTGACTTTTTAGTGTAAAAATGTGGTTTTTCGTTAAAGTAAATAGTATCGGAAACTTTTCGTTAAAGTTCTCTTCATTCTATCCATGCAAACATGACTTGAGAACGCATGTATATAGGGGAATTGGATCATCTCCGAGGCAAAGCCTCGGAATCCTCCTGATCCACTAACACGGGCTATTGGATTTTGATCCAACGGCTACAATTATTATAACTTTAGAGAGATTCTCTATTTGTAACCGTTAGATCAAAATTCAACGGTTCACCCAAGTTGCAACTTTTATCTCTCTCGCCTGCAAGTTGGTTGAGTAGGACCTTCGCATTTCACTGTAATTAAACACTTATCTAGTTAGCTTCTAGTTTTGAAAGAAAATGGTGGATGATCAACGGTCAATATAGGCTGAATTGTTTGGGAAGCTTCTCGAAACTCATTTCATATGTGGAACATCAATTTGTATCTTATTATTGTATTTGGTTTGAAGATTCGTCTGACATTATTATTAATATTGTAATAGTAGTGTATAATAATATTTTTTTAGAGACTTTAACGAAAAATTCTCAGTACTGTTTCCTTTAACGAAAAACCATGTTTTTACACTAAAAAGTCAATCTTAGTACTATTCAGTTTACCCTTTATTTTGTCCTTATCATTAAAAATCAAAGTTTTCAAATCATTTTCATTAGTTTTCCTTATTTCTTATCTGTCTTTGATAGTCAATCCTAGTACATTCGAGCCGTTAAATTAACAATGGATGCGTGTATTCTAAAATTTTGTAGTGCAGCTGATCAGAAGTTATGAGTTGTGTTATGGTCCAACCAAAGGTGGTATCACCAGTAGCCCATTCAATCTAACCCAATACCAAAACGAAAATAAACACCAAATCTATGCTACCCCAACATAAAATAAATAAAAGGGTAAATGTTGGATAAGGGATAAGGTTTTGGCAACACCTCATCCAATGAAATCAGAGGGTTCTACGACCACCACAACATCTCACCACATTTGCAAGTATACTTCTTTGGCCAATATCTGACCTGTTCACTTCACTCTGCAGTCTCACTCTCTGCTCCTCTGCTCCTCTACCCTGCCATTCTTTGATCACAACTGTGTATCTTCTGCAACTGGTGCAAAAGCAAAGTGATGGCCTCAGCTTCTCCAATGGCTAGCCAACTTAAATCCAACTTCACTTCTCCAATCACCACCAGACCTGCCTTGCTTTCTCCCAAAGGCCTCTCTGCCTCCCCACTCAAGCTCTTCCCTTCCAAGAGACTCTCTTCCTTCTCCATCAAGGCTGTCCAATCTGACAAGGTAATTTTACTTCTCCTCATCATATATTTTCACTTCATCGTGTCACTGACTATCGCAACAAAACGTACTAACATAATATTGATATCTTGTTAATGGTGCGTTTGTCATTTTAAGCGGCGTTTTGTATAGAGAATATTGAATATGAATATACTTCTTATACATTTTAGAGTAAACTGTCCTCTGAATTATCACTTAACTTTCGATTTTCAACTTTTTAATTGAAAAATTAAGAACTTAAACTAATATTTTTGGCCAATTTCCCCCCAATGTTAGTTTTTCATAGATTTCATCTAAATTAACGTTAAATCTTATCACGTGCACACCACGCGACTCTCCTTTAAGGACCAAAACGTCACTTCACTAGACCTTTAGATACAAAAGCTATAGAAGCACACATATTTGTATAGGTTTACATTTTAGAAATCTTGTGCACACGCTTCCATTTAGCAGAAATTTAGATGGAATCAATGAAAAATTAACATCAGGGGCAAATCGCCCAAAAAATTTAGTTTAAGTCCTTAATTTTCCAATTAAAAAGTTTAGGGAGAAATCGAAAATTAAGTGATAGTTCAAGGGGCAAATAGGCAGATTACTCTACATTTTAAGGGGGGATTTTTGATATAAAGTCACTAGCATTAGGTTTAGTAGTACACTTGTAAGTAGTAAGATTTTAAGTTCAACTCTCGTAAATAGTTAAAATACTTAATTATGACATGTTATATGATTTAGCACAAATACTAGTGCTAATAACAGTTTCCTAAGTTTAACGTGTTTCTAATTTTGTGGTACGATGATTGAATCAATGTTGCAGCAAAATTTCCAAGTGATTCAACCCATCAACGGTGATCCTTTCATTGGAAGCTTGGAGACTCCAGTGACATCAAGCCCTTTGATTGCCTGGTACTTGTCCAACCTCCCAGCCTACAGGACAGCAGTCAGCCCACTTCTCAGGGGTATTGAGGTGGGTCTGGCCCACGGTTTCCTTCTGGTAGGCCCATTTGTCAAGACTGGCCCATTGAGGAACACTCCCTATGCCGGAGGAGCTGGCTCCTTGGCTGCTGCTGGTCTTGTGGTCATCCTAACCCTTTGCTTGACAATCTATGGAATTTCCTCCTTCAAGGAAGGAGAGCCGTCCTCCGCGCCCGCTTTGACATTGACCGGCCGAAAGAAGGAGCCCGATCAGCTCCAAACCGCCGAGGGGTGGTCCAAATTCACCGGCGGGTTCTTCTTCGGTGGCATTTCGGGTGTCACTTGGGCCTACTTCCTCCTCTATGTTGTAAACCTTCCTTACTTCTTCAAGTAGATTTGCTGCTTCTTGTCAAACTGTAATCACTCATCATGTAATGTATGCTACATTGTTTGTTAAATATATTTTAATGTCACAACAAGTGGTCTTTAAATTACCATAAATTCATAATTGTATTAAATGCCAAATAAGTGTGTGTATACATGAGTGCATATATCATCAAAATTCAGATGCCGTAAATTAATTACAAATTCACACACACACACACACACATATATATATATAATATATATCACCCATTACACCTTCAAGAACCATAGTGGAAATGTACGTAGCGGGGGAGACAGAGGATTTGATTTCTATTTTGGAAATCCTAGGCACCAAACGAGCCCTTAAAGTCTTAAATATAATCACATCCACCAATCTTTCTTGAACAAATTAAGAAGAAGAGCCATGAACAAGAGGTGGTACTGCAGCTTCAGCTTGTGACGGCACAGAGAGCTCAAATTGCCTCCAAGAAAGAGGGGAAACAGAGAGCAGATCAGGCGATACGAGATTATCCCAGCCCCTAACAGGATCAATTGTTGCAGAGGCAGCGGAAGCAGAAGCGTCCCAACCTATGTGTGTCACATGCTTCACATCTGTAGGACACCCTATTTCCATACCCATTTCCAGCACTTCTTCTTCCATATCATCCTTGTAAACTATCAAGAAAATCACCACAAGAGTAATCAGAGATAAACTAGAGCTGACGTGGGAGTAGCTATATTGACTAGAGTAGATGTGCTTCCCCATGCATCCGAGTTCGAATCTCCCTTCCAGCAATTTAGATGAGTTCTAGGTATAAAATATCACAAGAAATGATAACCAAATCACGTGTGCGTTGAGACTTACCAAATAACTGAGAGAAGTTCTTGAAACCCTTGAAGAGCCTATGAACACCGGTTGATATGTTTGGTTTTGGAAGAGCCAGGGATCTAAACGAGTTCTTCATGCTTTCGCCGGATAATCTATCTGCTTCATCTTCTTCCTCTTCAGCTTCTTTTGTTCCTTTTCACAAATCATCAAAAAGACGCGAAAAGATAAGCTAGCTAGCTAATTAGAGAGAGAAATACTGCACTCATGCATGTATATATGTGTGTGAGAGACTATGAGAAAGAGACTTATTGGAGACGGATTTGTGTCCGGTTTTGATGTTCTGGGCGGCTGCCGCTGCACACCGCCAACAGCAACGCTCGATTCAGAAATGCAACCGATGGCAAAGGGAAGAAGAACGAATCTTTCCATTCTTTCTCTCATTTTCCCATCAAACAGCGCAAACGAAAAGGGAGATGGAAATGTGGAGAAATGGTGGATGGGAAAATGCAAAATTGGGAGTGGAAAATGGTTTGATATAGTAGAAGAGCATGCATTGATCTGGCTTTGTTATCAAGTCACAATAATTTTACATTCGAAAAAGTCAAGCTACATATGCAAGTATGTTTGGTAGAGATGGAGTGGAGATGATAAAACTCAAATTAACATTAATTAAGTTAGGTTGAGAAGTTTAACCTAATCAATTACATCTAATTGAGATAAACAAATTAATGTGTACTTTTATGTTCAAATACTCAAAAGTGGGTAGGGTTCTCCACTTCACTTACCTCTCTTATAAAATAAGCCACCAAATTCCACCTCTCTTTTTTCTCCTCTCCTTTTCTTTTCTTTGTTTCTTTCGTTTTCTTAATTTGGACTCTAGCTTCATGTAGTGCATACCAAGGGATCTTTCTTAGGTTAGAAATTTAATAATTTAAATATTAGTATTATTAATATTTAAAATATTAAATATTCAAGTGAATGAAAATTAAAGTGGAAAAGTGGTTTAGTCTTGAATTGCCTATATATTGCAGTCTGCAATTGTACCTTTTAATTTTATTTTATTATGAAAATGGTCATGGAAAGGTTTGACTAACAGATTTTCAAGGGTTGTGTACGTTTGAACAAAGGTTGCAGCTTTTTGTCATTTGAAAACAGATGCAATTTTGAACAAAGATTGCATCCCTTGACTTGGAAGCAGACACAACCTCTGGAAACAGATGCAACTTTGAACAAAGGTTGCATCCTTTGTCTTTTGGAAGCAGACACAATCTTTGAAAATGGGGCATGTCAATGCCTATAAATAGACCACCAAGTCAAGCATTTTAGAGATAGTTTCGCATTCAGAAATTATATTGGAATTAGAGTAATTTAGTGTTCAAGAAAGAAAGAGTTTTAAAAACTTTTGGTTCGCTATTCTTTGTGGATTGGAGTGCTACTTCCACAAAGAGAAATATCATTGTATCCTAGGAGACATTTGCCAACACAAACCTTGAGGCACCACTGAGGGGCAATCTTGTCTTAAGGCTATAGAATCAAATTCTAGCATCGATCTCTTAAGGTTCTTCTATTCCTTGTTCTTCTTGCATTTATAGAGATTCTATTGTGTATTATTTAATAGTTTATAATAAAATATATAGCAGTTTTTCCATAGTTTTTTCCAACATCTTATGCATAATCAGATAAGGAGTTGCATAAAAAAAACGCTAAGGGGACAATGTCTTAAATCATTCATGCAATATCATGTGAGAAACTTAAGGTGACAGTGTCTTAAATCATTTATGCGATATCATGTGAGAAAGTTAAAACACTTTATGACGCATGATAGATTTGAGACGATGTCACATTAGTGTTCTTGTTTTGTGCAATTTTCTCTAAAACAATGTTGATGGCTCGGAAGATCAATTTGGGTAATTAGTATTACTTACCAATTTTAGGGGCGTATAATATATGAACGATTTCTAGTGAAGTAGAAAGCACGTGAATGCTACTGTTCAATCATTCACTTTCCACACGCCACATCAGCTCACGGGTACCACAGATAACTTTGCCAAAAATCTCTGACAAAGTTTAGACACGTGAAGCTTGCAGCTCCCATTACATCGCTATGACCAAGAAGGGTAAAAGAATAGCAAAGAAACAGCACTAACAAAGTTTAGACACATAAATTTTGAAGGTCTAGCTACCATATTATTACCTACAAGGGTAAAGGAACAGGACCACTGCTGGATAATTGGAAAGTCCATATGGGTCAACCTCTGTGCTCCGTGGCAAGGTAGACTAGCAAACAGGCCTAACCTTTACTCACATTCGAGAAAACACTCCCAACAAGATTGCTTGCTTCAAGATCGAAGAGGCACCGTCCTCCAAATCTCGAGAGCCAGACTCCCAACATGATTACTTTCTCAAAAAGCAACGAGACACCGCTCTCCGAATCTCGAGAGCCAGACTCCTAGCAGGATTGCTTTCTCAAAAATCGAAGAGGCACCGTTCTCCGAATCTCGAGAGACAGATCCCCGACAGGATTGCTTGTTCAAAAACTGAAGAGGCACCGCTTTCTCAACTTCGAGAGCCTCTTAGATAAAGCTTGTCTGTAATCTTCACACGTAACATCAGCTTTCCAGATACCACAGACCACTTTTTCAAAGTGCTTTGACAGAGTTAAAACACGTGAAGCTGGCAGCTCCCACTACTGTGCTATGACCAAGCAGGGTAAAAGAATATTATTACTCCTTCTTGTTAGGGAGACTCCTATATATGTCGACCTCAATCCTCAACGGACAGGCAGACCTGCAAAAATGCTCAACCCTTCCTCATATCTGAGAGGGCACTCCCAACGAAGCCTCTCGAAATACTCAGCTTTCTTTCCCCCCGAGAATACCTCTGCAAACAAGCTACACCAGAGCAAGAATATCTCATATCATCAGGGTTAAAAGCAAGAGTATCCCATATCATGCTTTTTCCCTGTCTTTTCCTTTGGCCTTGTTCTTACCTGCAAGACAAGGAGAAAGAGAGCAATCAGTCAGCACTTGGAATCAAGCTTCCAGTCCGGAACTGACTGCCTGGAACCCTATTGTTCTCGAGTACTCATCTTCAACATCTTATGCTTCCCGAGAAGATACCACATCTGCCTGAGGAACAAATAGGGCAAGTGAGAAGGATACAAGGAAACATGTGGAGACAAGCGCAACAGAACACGTGCCGATACATCCACTACTTTGTCAACAGAAAAAGTATCCCATATCAGCAGGGTCGAACGTACTCTAGATTTGATGGACTTGTTTTGACCCTCAAATTCTTCAGTCGATCTTATACTCTGGCGGAAACAAGAAAACCCTCCAGCCCAGTTCAAGAATAAGCCTGTGGAAAGTTACTTCTTCAAAAGCAAAAGTATCTCATATCACCTTTTCTCCTTTTCTTCTCTTTATCCTTCATGCTACCTGCAAGATAAGGAGAAGGATAACAATCAGCCGGAACTCGTAATCAAACTTCTGATCTGGGACTGATTGCTTGGAGCTCTGATTGCTTACCTTGTCTGTCACCTCTTTCAGCAGATCCCCTAGCTCGGCGACTTGGGGGACTCCTACTACATGGTTTGTATCGCGCTTGACCAAGCCTGAAACTACAAGTAAGCGTCAAGTGAAATTGATACATTACCTTGTGCATCTCCACTAGTTAAAGATACCACCCCTGGAGGGAGGAAGAGTACTTCCAAAGAAGATGCCACATCTACCTATGAGACAGATAAGGCAAGTGAAGACGATACCACACTTCGGTACTTAAAAGTTTCGTGATTACGAGATCATTCTTCCACAATATTTCCTAATGTCATTTGTACTAAATCATTCACTTGTACTCACTAAAGGAGAGCTTGAACCTATATATTGTGTAAACCCTTCACAATTAATGAGAACTCCTTTACTCCGTAGACGTAGCCAATCTGGGTAAACCACGTACATCTTGTGTTTGCTTCCTGTCTCTATCAATTTACATACTTATCCACACTAATGACCGGAGCAATCTAGCGAAGATCACAAACTTAATATTTAAGATGATATTCTTTGGTGTATGCTTTTCGCAAACGATATAGTGTTGATAGATGAAACGCAGGAAGGGGTAAACGCGAAGCTTAACCTTTGGAGAGAAGTGTTGGAATCTAAAGGTCTTCGCCTAAGCCGATCAAAGACAGAATATATGGAGTGCAAGTTCAGTGCAAACGGAGGCCAAAATGAGTTAGGGGTGAGGATCGAAGATCAGGAAATACCAAAGAGCGACCGTTTTCGCTACCTAGGATCTATCTTGCAAAAGAACGGAGAATTTGATAGAGATCTCACCCATAGAATACAAGCTGGATGGATGAAGTGGAAGAGTGCATCCGGCGTGTTGTGTGACCGTCGTAGGCCACTGAAGCTCAAGGGAAAATTTTATAGGACGACAATAAGGCCGGCAATGCTGTATGGCATAGAATGTTGGGCGGTGAAGCATCAACACGTAGGTGTAGTGGAGATGAGGATGCTTCGTTGGATGTGTGGGCACACGAGAAATGATAAGATTAGGAATGAGAATATCCGAGGTAAAGTAGGAGTAGCCGAAATTGAAGGAAAGAGGAGAGAAAATCGGTTACGGTGGTTTGGACATGTGCAAAGAAGGCCTACTGACGCTCCGGTTCGAAGATGTGACCACGGGACAGAGGTTCAGGGCCGAAGGGGTAGAGGAAGACCTAGGAAAACTTTGGAAGAGACCCTAAGAAAAGACTTAGAGTACTTGGATCTAACGGAGGACATGACACAAAACCGAGCACAATGACGTTCTATGATTCATATAGCCGACCCCACTTAGTGGGAAAAGGCTTTATTGTTGTTGTTGTATAATATACGAACGATTGCAAGCATACAAAATACGGAATCGTTGAGGGAAGAAAGCTACGTTTGTGTTACCACCCAACCTTTATTTATTTATTTTTTTTGGTCAAGTAAAAATATGTAAGCAAGAATAATGCTTGTGTTCTTTTTATGTGGGACAATTCCCCTTACTTAATATTAACGAATTTTTACCGACCAAATATCATAATCGAAATTGTACCTACATTCTCTTAATTTGGAGATCATACTTGAAAAAATCAATCAATTTGGAGATCGTTTAGTCATTCATGTGCATAAAACAAATAGAAGTTCATCATGGAAATTGTTTAGTCGTCGATTAGCTCATACGTTCTGTTCTATGGCTCTGGTTACGAGATAAACAGCAATCAACAAACTCCGTGGCTGACTCGAGCATCGTTTGGTGGTGAAACGCTAATCGTCCAGTCCCCATTTACGTTAATTAAACTGCTTGATGACTATGGCGATGGGTACAAGAATAAGTTGCACAACATCATTCATGCATCAAGCCTTAATATTATCAGTTATCTCCAGAGGAGCAGGGATAACTTATAAAAGGACGGAAACAATGAATGTCTCTCACAATTGACTCAGAGAGTCTTTAACAGCCCTTGTTTTTTCTTTTTCTTCTTCTTCTTCTTCTTCTTCTTCAAGTCGGGATCGACTCAGAGAGTCTTCAAACGGCGTTTTCTTCTTTCTTCTCATTCTTCTTCTTTGAAGTTAAAGTGTTTGGTTGAGACAGAGAGTCCTCACCAGCCTTTTCTTCTCTTTTTCTTCTTTCTTCTCATCTGTTTGTTTGGTGGATCGAAATATACACATAAATTACTTACTCGATATCAATCTTTATTTCTTGTTCTTCATTTTCTAGCTGCTACATATACATAAACCAACACAAAAAACATACATATTTGAATATAAATTAAAAGGGAATTTTAAATATCAACTCAAAAAATTATTCAGGTGTGAAATTAATTAAATGGTAATTCTTGCAAATGTAGCAACGAAAACCAACAGCAGTTTGGTTAATATGTTTCCTCAAAACTCAAAACATGAATGTACATACGCAGATTACAAACTGAGATAGCGGAACTGAAATGCTGCAAATTCAAATTTACAAATAATCAATTTACCAGTCCGCATCTCACAAACCCTAAAACAAAAACCAAAAGCATGCATACCATGACGTACGAGTCCGGATCTCACCTCGGAGCTCCAGCAACTGGGCTGGTTTCTTCTCCCGCCAAGGTCCTGATCCCACAACGCCCTCCGGCGGTCGGCGTTTCATGACTTGTGTGTGTGAGAGAGAGAGAGAGAGAGAGAGAGAGAGACTGCACGAGTTTCGGGCTTAATTGGGGACAGTTAGGGTTAGAGCGCGTAAATATGTATAAAATCCTATATATATATATATATATATTCTCTTTGGGACTACTTTGCGGTACGTAGTGTGTCACATCTCCCGATCAGACCTATTTATATGGTGATCGAAACCCCTAACTTGATGGCTAAGTCACTAAAACTTCTACAAGTGTGAGTTTTTCCAAACACCACCTCTTTTTAAGTTCATCCGCCATTTAACTTCAATTTTCTTTTAGGCCATGTTTGGGTGATGGATTTCCCAAAAACCAAGGTATTGAGGCAAGTTAGTAAAAAAATCCAACTACAAAATGTTAGAGATAGAGGGGATTCAAAATGTCGTTACCCTTCATTTAAAAATCCTTTTCACATGCCTTTATAAGTCACTTGAGTTGAGCCGCTAAGATGAACAATTTAATCAACAAACTCTGAGGTTGATTGAATCAAGCTTCATTTGGTAGGAGGATTCTTCAAGTTCATACTATGATTAGCAAAACGCTAATCAAGAGGGACACGATAGACTAATTAAATTAGGGACAATATTTGCATCCACCCTATGGCAACGTATCCAGGGCATGACTAGAATGATTTGCACAACTCGTTGCATTAGGCTCTTACCAGTAATCTCCACAGGAGCAGAGACCATGTTTAAAATGATGGAAGCGATGACTGTCTCTAACAATTATTTCCCTATCTAAAAGCTGACAAGTATATTTGATAAAGTTATGACAATCAGTGCACACTCTGAGGTTCTTCATGATCCGAATTGGCGTCCCAGAAGTTGTGCTTATGATGCCATAGGCAACTGCAAGCTTTTCGCTGTGATGACTGAGAAGTACTTCTTGTTGTTCTTCCTCGACGTCCTGCATCACCATTTTCATGTCTGATGAGTACCCGATTTCCTTCAGTCTTCCAATCAGCTCATCCAAATACGAATATATCTGTGTGGAGTGTGGATGGGACCTATCGCTCATGACGAAAGAGTGGACTTGATTTTTTAGTTGAATCCAAGACTGACCAGCGATTTTGTTGATTCCTCTCTTTTGCATCAACCTCCTTATGTCAGCTGCTTCTTCCCATCTATGATTCACGGAACACATGTTTGACAATAAAACATAAGATCCCTCGTCCAATGGTTCGAGTTGGAGTAGTCTTTCGGAAACCCACTTTCCCAGCTCGAAATTTTTATGAACCCGACATGAAGATAGAAATGACTTCCAAACTGAACTCAGGTGAGAGATGCCATTTGCTTGAATGAACTCTTTAATCTCATCCAAGCGACCTGCTCTACCATAAATATCAGCCATACAAGTGAAATGTTCAGCTCCAGGCTTGATGCCATAAACTTCTTTCATCAAGCTGAAATACTTGAAGCCTTCTTCAAGGAGCCCGGCGTGGCTGCAGGCATTTAAAACCACCACGAAAGAAACCTCATTCGGCTTAATTCCCTCTTTTATCATGAGTTCAAAAAGCTGAACAGCTTCCTTGCCTTGCCCATGTAAAGCACAAGCGGAAATCATTGAAGTCCACAACACAACATTTAGATCGCCAGTTTGTTTAAAGATCATCCGAGCATCGTTTAGGCTCCCACATTTAGCATACATATCAATATACGAGGAACCTAAGTGGACATCAATTTTGTACCCGATTTTCTGAATGTGAGCATGAATGTGCTGACCAAGAAGCAAAATCCCAACGTTAGCACATGCAGAAACAACACTCGTCACAGAAAATCTATCCACCAGAATCCTTTCACGAACCATAGAACAAAAAGTTAGCAAAGCATATTCATACTCACCATTATGAACATATCCGGAAACCATTGAACTCCATGATACAATCTCCGTCTTCATCTCATGACAAGTAAACTTAGAATTTGCTCTCAAATGCATTGTTTTGAATACTAGCGTCGCCTTCTCCATCTTACCACACTTGCAATACATATCTATTAAGGAAGTTTGCAGAAATCCATCGTTTGGAATACCAAGCCTTAGAAGACAGCCGTGAATTTGTCTCCCCAGTTCCAAAACAGATAAAGATGAAGCCAAAACCAGAGCTTCGGAGAAAGTGACTCGATTAAATGGCGGTCCATTTTCCACCATCTCATAGAGCAGCTCCAATGCATATCTTTCGTGCCCGTTTTGCATTAGCCCGTATAAGATTGTATTCCAACTAGCAACATCTTTGAAGGGCAATCTTCTGAACAAATCAAGAGCCTTCTCCATATCCCCAACATGCATATATGCACCCATCATTATATTCCAAGCAACAGTGTCTCTCTCTTCCATAGCTTCAAATAACCTCTCTGCATAATCAAAGCCGCCACATTTTACATAAACGTCGAGTATCGAGTTCTCTAACACCATATCCAAGTCAATCCCATGTCTCAAAATCCATCCGTGAATTCCCTTCCCAGTCCGAAAATCGCTTAAACTAGAACAACTCTTTAGAACACTTGACAACGTAAATTGGTTCGGACAAACACGATCAAACTGCATCTCTTTGAAAAGTTCCAACACCATTTTGCACGATCCAACTCGAGCAAACCCCGATATAAGTATAGTCCACGACCGGACATCTCTGTCAGGACTTTCATCAAACAACTTGTGTGCATAGGCCAAGTTGCTATATTTCACATACAAAAATGTGACATAGTTCCTCACATCCAAACTGTCCAAGGTACCATTCTTGACAGATTTGGCATGAAGGGTAACAGGCAGGGACTCATTTGGAAAATCACCAACTGCCCGAGATTGGTACCCACAATGTTGGAATCTCTTGAAGTGGGTATGCTTTGAAATTGGATTAGAGCTTGAGTATTTGGTGTTTAGGCAAATCCATCTCATGTTACCTACTAATTAGGTCCGTTTTGGGGATTTAGAAGCAGCCCTTGTAACAGCTTTGTTGGGATGGAATTGAAGATTTTGGCTATTTGGTAGGACACGAATGAGAAGCAAAGGCATTTGTTGCGGTGAAGTCTCTTTTCAAGCGGGTTGCTGATTTCATATTTCGCTTACGAACATACTGCCATGAGCAACTGGCCTATTCCACGTGCGCTTTTTTGGGATAAAAGTTTTCCGCTTTGATTCATCTTACATGTTTTGAAAACGTTGCAGGAAATTGGGCATACTTTGGCTTTCGTGGTGTCGTTAACAACGGGGTCCATGCATGCGAGGACTGTATAGTATATGCTATCATTTTACAGACGAGTGAATGATCTGTTATAACGGGTATCATATGCTCTCTACTTGTGAAGGAATCCGAAAAAACGAAAAAGGAGCAGAAAGCACGAAAACAAGAACAGAAAAACAAAATGTGTAGAGCATTTAAGGCTCTTAAGAGAATCAGGTTAGCCTAGGGTTCACAGTTTGCACTTAGAGAGGAGGATAGAAGTAAGACGACACGGAGAAGCATAGGAAGAGCAAGCCTCCAACTGTTGCGACTGTCCGTTGGGAGATTTTGGATGCCAACATACTCCCTCCTACCACAGCCACAGACGTGCAGATTGTATGTCCTAGTGTTGCACCCACCGCAACTCCAACTGCATTTTTATGGGTTGCCAGCTGCAGGGTTAAAAGATAGAGTTTCATCTCCGTTTTAGACTTAATATAACATGAACTATGGCAAGAAGAGAGGAGGGGGGAGGAATCTTCTCTTACAGCAATTGTCGCTATTTGGCTGCGATCTCCCCACTCTGCTAAAAACGTTAAAATGAATGACTGCAACAGCAAACAGAATTCATTTAGTAATGAAGGTTATCTATCATAAGACTTCAAACTTACAGCTAAAAGGTTTCAGCTCTAAAAGCATGTGCAACAAGTACAGATCCCATCTAAATCCATGATTAGTAAAGAGAACATAAACCAAATCAGTCATACCTCCAAGAAGATGGGTGTTAAAAATCTGGAAAAGAAACGGCGGAAGGGTGTTTTTCCCTGTCCAGACTCAAGTTTCTCTTCAACCTGGATATATTGGGTGCCAAGCAAATTTAGACAGCAAAAATAACAAAGTAGACTAGTAGAGGGACAAATTTCATGTTGTAAGCTCATAAATGCAATGAAGACAAAAGGATATAAAAAGTGATCAGAAATCAGGAATAATGCAGGCAGTCAATTCAAAACAACTCTGAATTCTGAGATTATCCCCACTTCTCGTAAATGCCTAGTACTTTCATGGCTAACTCAAGGGAAAACCAATAAGCCCGGAAAGTTTTAAACATACGACACCAGTTAACTCAATGTCATCATCCTACTTTATCAGTTGCACAGTTGAGGTAAAGTTGTTTTGCAATCTCTATCACTATACAGATGAGGTTGTTTTCGGAGGTTTCTGTAGACCTCCCTCATTCACATGTTCATTCAAAAGCATCAAAGCAAGTCTTGAAAAAATTTAAATATTGCTTTATCCAATCTAAAGTTGATTATTATGATCCATAAACTGGGTAGTACAGGCACCAAGCATTGCTAATTTACCATCCATCTATCTAGAGATCATAAATAAATACAAATCAAATAAAGGCTAAAAAGTGAAAACATATAATAAACTTACTTCTTCAATTTCTTTCTTCTGGGAAGATTTAGAATCTGATGATCTCCAAGCAATGTAAAGTAACCTCAGTCCAAAAAATAAATATAGAACTGCAAAGAAAACAGAATTACAAAACTTGATTTGCTATCAAACATTAAAGCAAGACCATGTACCTAAGATTCTATAGCCAAAACAAAAATATGGAAATCCGATTCTCATAAAATTTCTTAGTGGTCAAGTAACAAAAAGAATCGGTAGCTTTACCTGTAGCTGCACTATTTGTATGCTTCCTTGATATCAAGTTTGGCACAATCCTACCAAGTCCAGTGGAAAGTACCTAATTGACACACAGAACAACTTAAATCTTGATCACATCGATAATAAGAAATCGCACTTTTGCAGTATCTGAACCTTTTAGTTACAACACCATGGAAACAAATTGCATATTAGAACCACATAAAGAGAGCAGAGATGTTGAAGGGAAAACGTTTATATATGTATTTCCACAATAGAAATGAAATATTAGATAACTTACCGTCATTATAAACAAGGCTGAAAGTGCACCAGATAGGACAATTGACCTGGGGTGACGCATTGCCATAAGAGCTGCTATTATAAAGGTTTCATCTCCGATCTAGTAGCATTTGTCAATTAGAAGAAAATTAGTTTAATCACTATAGCCCTCCTTGTTATTTCAAAAACATATAAATGAAAACAGCACCATCATGCAAGCTCGATCATTTGTTAGTACACTTGACTTGGTTCCAAGTTTTTCAAATTTCAGTCTGTTCTTACGGGATTAATGATTACTAACAGAACGAGCAGGTGAGAACCTCTCATAAATTACCACAGCTTTGAAAGTAAAATTGAACTAAACAGATCGGGAAGTTTGTCCACGAACCTCACTGACTAGTATCATTGATAAGCTTGCGATAAAGGCATCAAAAATTCCAAGACCTGAGTCCACGTGGAGACCAATAGCAACTGAGTCACCCTCTGTCTTGACGCCAAGAGTATTAACTTCAAGAATACCCAATTTAATCTGTACAAACAAATTGATATAGTATTAACAATGAAATTCAGAAAACAAGATACAGAATCTTCAATTTAAAATATACAATTGAGTGTTATGCATACAGGCTACAAAACACCCATCCAAATACCCCAAAAAAAGCATGAAACTATAAACAAATTGAAATCTTATTTTGCCCAATAGAAAGAAATTCAATTTAGTTTCGTTCAAATTTCAGAACTACAAATCCCCACTTCCAAATATCTGTATCCAAGCTTCTACAGCATCAACTACAAATCAAATCAAATGATACTTACTTTACGCAACGCTACCTAATTCGATGAACATACAATTGAATTTTATACAAGCTACCAACTCCCCCACTCTAAAAACAGTTCTTGCAGTACCACATTGTAACTTGAAAACAATCAGATAAGAGAAACATGACCCATCAGATGAGTGATGGTTAGGAATTTTTTTAAGTCTTCGTTTCTCATCAATTTTCTCAGCAACCAAACAGATATGTAAAATGAGAAAGAGAGGGTGATTGTCAAACCTTGCTCCGACGGCCCAGATCTTTGGATCCCCTGGAGTCTCCCCTCTCAGCTTCAAACCCAGACTCCTAATCACCCAACAAATCACCAGAATTAGAATCATATAAACATACACACACGCAAAGAGAAAGAGAGAGAGAGAGAGAGAGAGAGCTACCTGAGCAGAAACGGCGAGGATAAGGAGCAATATGAGGGGGAGGGAGTACGCAATCGTTCTGGGAATCGAGCGACACCCCATGACTGCAGAAATCGGGAGGTCTGAAACTGGTGGGTAGAGGATTTTATCGGGAACGTGGATCGGAATCCTTGCTTGGTGCTTTGCTGAGATCCTACGTCTGCCTGTAGAAATTGGAGAGATCTGACGAGAGACACAGAGAGAGATCTTTGCTGAAAGCAGCGAAGATCTCTAGTAGCAGGTGGAGTATTAACGGTTCACATATTAAAAAATTGGTGGAGGGGACTCTTCTCAAACTCTCAGAGAGAGAGAGGGGGGAAAGGTTTGACCCCAGAAGAGTAAAGTAAAAAAGGTAAGGGTGTCTTGTTGTACCGGACTGTCTCGGACTGAATTAGTTGTAGCGACTACGTTGGATTGGATTGGCTTAGACTAAGCAGGATAAAAATAGTGAAGTGTTTGATGTAGTACTAGACTAAATCTCGGACTAAAATATTTTAGTCCCAATATTTTATTTTTTCCATTTTGCAATGGAACTGGACTTTGTAATTTGCTAGTATCCTACAAAACTTTGCCGTACTACCGTTACCCTTTCCTTCTCTACAAAAAAAAATCACCCACAGCCTTTGCACATACCAAACTGATTTGAATTTCACCTCCAGTTTTTATGGAGTAATTCATAGTTTGTAAAGCCCATGTAATTTCCGATGAGATCCAACCGATTAATATCGATTCCAAGAATTTGATTCAGCCAAGCCGGGTCGACTCGGTGCAACTCATCTTCAAATCGCGGCTCAGGAGGCTTTTTGACTAGCAGTTCCCGAGTGTGCTTAGAATATCTTATGCGCATGAGAAGCCGACTGCTACTGAGTCGCCACCGCAGCAGCAGAACTACAGTACCAGCAGGATGAAGTAACTGTCGCCGTCACAGCCGAGCTCAGATCTCTGTGGAGCAGAAAGAGGAGAAAACGAGGAGAAAGGAGGAGGGGAAGGGGGAATGATGGTGGCTCTCAGCGTTTGTGAAAACATAGGAGTAGAGGAAGACGCGAGGGAGTTAGTCCTTTCTAATCCCATGGTTCTCGACGGGTCTGCTAGCTAGGGAGTTAGTCCCCGCGAGTCCCTTCTAATCTCATTAAACTTAGTCCCGGACTGTTAACAAACACCAGACTAGACTACTACATAGTCCAGTCCAAGCCAGCGAAAGCTAGTGAGCTCAAACAAACACACGCTAACAGTCCTACGATCTGGTGGTATTCTTGGAAGGGAAGCGAGAGGTCTTAGTTCAAATCTCGTGGATGGCGAATTTGATATTAAATTAAACTGCACATTGTGTGGCTTTGTCGAACTCTCTCACCTTTTAGTGTAAAAACATCAATGTGCTCAAAAAGTAAAAAATGGACAAGGTAGCGTTCTTAATTGTTAATTCTTGTCCTTCTTCCCTAGAATACTTGAAATGGATCGTGAAGTTTCAATTTTTTCGCATTATAAAGTTTTTAAATTGTATTAATTTATGTTTTCTTTGTGTTTGTATGTTTGGTCGTTTATTAAATTGATGTGGTGATAGATATGAGGTTTATTTTTCTATGTTGACCTGAAAACACACTTATTTTTAGAGTTTTGTCTTCCCTTGATAGAGACTTTACAATACAATGAGAATCAATCGCACAATTTGGTCTCAGTGATGCAAATATGACTCATACATCATCCCAATGGCGGATTCCACATCTACCATATTATCAAAATAACAATTGATTACACGTTCAAAGAGACATAATGATTAAAGAGTCAAGGGAGCGGGGTGTTATCTATATTGCTTGTCACAACTCACAAGGTCAAACATATTGAATGTATATTGATATGATTTCAGTTCACCAAAAATTGATATAATTTCAAATATCACAATGCAATGTAAAAAATAAAAAAAATAAAACTACACTACTCAATTACCTCAAATTACCGTATATAATGTAGTTAGCTAACTTTTCATTTCAAATGAATAAATATAAAATATAAAATTTTGAACGAATAATTCTTGGTGTCACATACTATAGTAAAGTCCATCTCAATTAGAGTATGTCTCAACAATATAGATTATTTTGTATGCTAAATACCTTGATTGATTTGGCAAAGATATTTACAAATTTTACATACAATTAAGCGCATGCAATGCTAATTGCTAAGCCCACAATATTTGGTCAAAAGTGTGAGAAGTGGTCCTAATAGGAGCACTCATGTAAATTTACCTTTTGATATCTTTTGACATGATGGAAATTTACCTTTTCATGTTGCAATAAGTTACAATTTGAATTTCTCCTCTCCATTAACGAAAACGTAAAGAAATATTTTACGCAATTCCTCAACTACTTTGATCCAATTGGGATGCCCTTGATTCAAGTTCAGTCTCAAGCCTCAATATTCGTGGCTTAGACTTAGGAGAAAAAAGACCCATAGTTTAATGGGACAATCTCATAAATTTCAAAAGTAGGTGCCCTTCAAGAGTCCAATTCCTAATTAGGAGTTCAAGTATGTTGTGTGCGCCTCACTCATGTTTTCATTCTCACATAGACAATCAACGGAGAAGTAATTCATAATCGAAATCCACATGTCATTGTGTAAAACGACTTTGTTAAAATTACATATAAAGCATGTGCTTGTTCACATTTATTGTATGTTCAGTTTGAATGGCCAAATTGAGCTTTAAAGAGGAAGCTTGTGAACAACGTTCATTGTGATTTTATACACATCAAATCAGAGACATTCAACTTTATACGTTATTATAGATCGAATCTTTTAAATAATAACACAAAAATGAAAATTGTAAAGAACCATATGACTACGAATATCTTATTATGGTGAAGTACATTAGTACATTATATTATTACTCCCATGTACACCTCTAATCATCTCCCATTTTTTTCTCCCTCTTAAAAAATATTCAAAGTAGAAAAAAAAAAGAAAAAAAAAAGGATGCGAATGCAATTAAAAATAAACGAAAGGCCCTGGACCCAACCCAATCCAACCCAAGCCAGCTGAGCCGCTCCACCAATCAGGTTTGAGGACAATGCGTGCGAGCTTCCGCCACTTTTGAATCGTAAAAGCGAAGTGAAGCCCCTTCCCCGGTTCAAACGGCCCCCTCCTCTCTCGCTTTTGACATGTTGCTTTTTACAGGACTAGCAGCAAGATGTGGTGGTTGTAATAACTAAAATAAATATGGTTACATATTATAGATGCACAAAAAGTATATTATATTCCTTATTGCGAGCTTCCGTTTATAATTTTGCTACACATGATACATGTGGAATTTTTTTATGTCAGGGTAACTTAAAAAATTAAAAATTAAAAAATTAAAAATAATTGCTCGACGGAGCTAGATGAGGATGTGAAAATAGCTTCCCCGGTCCTGACATTTACCTAACCCTTTTTTCAAGCTTGATAATGTCACGTTAATTATTGTGATTCTTCCCTCTTTTAATGCTCGCTTATTTTGTTTTTGTTTTGTTTCGCTTTCCTTTGTAGTAGATGAGAATTAATGTGGATAGAACTTTTCGTGCTTCTACTAAAACAGGGTGCTGGTGTGGTATTTCGCCGCGAAACCAGTTTTGTTTGCAAAATATCCCACGTGACAGGTCTTGACGTGGTGAAGTTTCTAGTTACCAGGAGAGTATCTAGTTGGCCTTCGAGCGACACTGGCACCAGATTGAACTTGAGAGTGACGCCCTCCAGGTTGTCCACATCATTGGCATCCTGCATGGTGACTCTTCCTCATTAGATTTAGTTGCTGAAAACATCAAAACGGGGCACTGAGGCTTTGTTGCATCTCGAGTATGTTATGTGCGTAGGTTCGCTAATATGGACATAAGTTGGCCAAGTTATGGGCATGGTAGGCAATTGGAAAAATAATGTAAACAGTCAAGCTAAAAAATAGGTTGACTTATCATATTAAAAAAGAAAAAAGGTGAGTTGAAAACCAAAAAAAAATAAATCATCAAACCTAAATTGAATTCATGAATTATTCTCTCATAATTGGTGAAATATAATTCTCTCTCTTTTTAGCACTTTTAGTTTTAGAACCATCAAGATCCTCTTCGGATCCTTTTGGTAATGATCTTAAAAATCCGTGAATCGTGTCCGTTCATCGTACATCATGATGTCAGTTTTTGTTAGGTCCTGTTTGTATTTAATTTTAAATAAAAATATTTAAAATGATATCTGATAGTACGATGTACGATAAACAAACACAATTCACGAATCTCAAAGATTCTCACAAAAAGAATCCGGCAAGAATTCAGATTCTTTTTTAGACGGTGTAAAATTGTGTTAGTTTTGTTGATGGCTACATTTTAAAGAGGAGGGAGGGACCCCGTACCCATCGTTTCATAATTCTTTATTCTGCCAATTGTAAAACTCATCGTCCACCATGTATGCATATTTACTATTTTTAGTCTTTAAACTTTTTCAATATCGCAACTACTTTCCTTCTTATTAAAACAATATAATTTCAACCATTTTCTGATTAATATCTCTCGACAATTCATGCCACATATGTGATGACGCCTTATATTATAATTATATTTCCAACTGAAGTAATTAGCAAGATATCGATTATCTTTATTAATTAATAAAGCACTTGATGACAACTAAAATCGTATGAAATTATCAGTTTAACATTCTAATTAAAACATAACATGAATAAGAAATATGGAGTAGAAATGTAATTTCACACAACTAAATTTTACTGTTTTTTTCAAAAACCTCACCTACATATAATTCTAACATATCTCTAATTAAAAAATAAAAATTTCCCACTCCCACATTCTCTATCACTCTCTTCCTCTCTCATTCTATTTCAAAAACAAAAATAAAAATTTTTCTCACACACACTTATATGCTAGTTATTATTAAAAAAAATTAAAAATTTAAGAAAAAATTAAAAATTGGGAGAAGGGAGCAGATGGTGGAAAATATAAAGAAATAAACTGGAAATAGTAAAAGCCGTCACAGGAAGCGGTCCGAGTTTCTGCTATCCGGTTTGCGGAATCGCACTTTCGCAGCTCGTAGAGCTGGACCTACTCGCTGCGCAAGTCGACCACTTGTTGAATAAAATATTAGATGAGGATTTGGCGTCGAGCATATAAGAAAAAGTAGAAGAGATTTTTCAGTGTTACTGTTATACAGGATGTTACACGGTGAAGTTTATATGAGACATGCAGTAAGAGATTAGTTATGGAGGGTTGTGAGTTTACCTTTTGTGTTTCGGATCTGAGCTAATCGAGTGCTGCTCTTCCTTTTGCCCATTATGTCTTCCGCGGATCTAACACCTCCCACAAAAATCAGCCAAGCCTCTGTTAGTTTGTGTGTTGTTATATAAATGATGGGAT